TGACGACGAAGCAGTTGCTGTGCAGTACTGATATCGATCTATGTATCACTTGTCGTAGAAGTCGACGTGTTCTGGACGGTGTGGTATCGTGTTATCTATCAAAAGGCGCTGAGACCGAGCACGATTATGGATTAGGAACCGCTTGTTGATCAATTCGCAGTAGTAGCGCGGTTAGTTGTAGAAGTCGGTTTATTCGTTGCTTGGACACCGCCGCAAGCCAAAGTCTCACGAACACAGTTAGGATCAGTGGGCTCGAAGCCAATCGATCCATCATTCCTCTCAATCAAACCGAAACAGACGGAGGGAGCTTCCCAGTACTTGCAGTAAGAGCCGTATTTTGAGTCCGCACATCCACTCACATCAGAACACATCTCAGAGCACGGGTCCTCAGTGGCCATCACAAAGGAGACGACCAGGACAAAAATCAAAAAGGAAACAATGAAGGAACGTATACTCAACGTATAAGCATGGTATAAGTATACTCAACATAAGAACGTATAAGTCAGAAAAATATTCAACTGAGAGAAAAAACTTATAACCAAATCATTGACTACTTCACAACAAGCGAGTAAAGACGATAATGGCATTTCAGCTTTGTGTGGCAGAAAAGATATGAAAGACCCCTTGTGAGTTCCATTGTCTACTGATAGAACACTCTAGTACCGATTGTGACACCGGAGTGGAGGATATTTGCGTGGGAAGATTCGTTTCTAAGCTGCGTAGAGCTGTGGGAAATATATCAGCTGTTTACATTGGTATTCGTATTATTGTACAGTATTTGGTTGTTTGTAGGTTTTACAATTTTCCAAACTCTTTATTATAATGTCATCTACTACTACTTGTAAGAATACTATGAAAGTGACTTTAATCGGTGCTTCCGGTGCCATTGGTATGCCTCTTTCATTGTTGTTGAAGTTGAACCCTCTGATCACGGAGTTGGCTCTTTATGATGTCCATCAGGCTCGTATACCCGTTCCTGGTATTGCTGCTGATAATTCTCATATCAACACTCCGGCTAAGTGAGAGGATATGTCGATGCTGAGCATCTCCCTGAGGCTGTCACTGGAAGCAACGTCATCATTGTATGTGCTGGTATTGCTCAAAAACCCGGTATGTCTC